CCCTGTCCCAGCCTGCTGCAGGCCTGCCGCCCCCGGCCCCCCGGTTGCCCGGGCTCCTGTTTACACGGCCGTGTTTACTTCTCCGCGAGGCCACGCGGGGCCTATAAATAGGAAAGGTGGAAGCAGTTGGGCTGCGGATCGATAGGGCCCCGACTCCGCGCCCTTTCAGCAGAGCTGTCTTATTAATTATGAAAGAATTCACCTGCTCCCCGCCTCCCGCCGGCCCCTCTGCTGGAGCCCTTAATGGCGGTTCCTTCGCCGGCTGCCTCTGGCCACCGCAGAGGAAGAAGCGAATCGTGGTTAGGGCCGGGCTGAGGGGACCGGGTCAGGGCTCAGACCCACGCCCGGGGAAGGGCGCAGCGGCCAGGCCTCGGGCGTTCAGTCCCAGCGCGCGTGCTGCCCCGCGCGCAAACCCACTTCCTCTGAAGCGCACGCAGAACGGCTATTTACAAAATAATAACAATAATTCATTATAAAACCAACTTCCTCTTTCCTTTAAGTCAGCAGAATTTCGGGGACCGGGCCGAGCGTGGAGCAGGCGGCGAGCAGGCGGCTCTGTGATCAGCTGTGTGTGCTCAGCGCACAGGGCTGGCTTGGCGTAGGAAACAAACGACACCCCCACTTCAAACAATAACTTTTATTTTATACTTCTCTATACTTTGTAGCAAATCTTTTTTTGCTGGATTTAATTTATAATAAACTTTTTAAATTACATCTCTCTTTTTTTTTAAAATCAAGGCTCTTTTATGTCAAAATCTTTTTTTTAACTATATTTTAGGTTAACGTGTAACATCCCCCCCTTGTGATCTACGCCGTTGGATATTCAGGTATTACTGTGTGAGTAACAGCTAAAACAAGAGAGGAGGGAACGAAAAGGCAGAGGACTGGAAAGATGCGGCAAGTTAAGTAAAGCTAACCCTTCAGTGGCCGTAAGCAGCACTTGTGACAACCTCCACTGGACACCAGCGACTCCCTCCGTGTGTTCCCTCTCTCCCTCCTAGCCACCTCCTGGCCTGTCCCTTTTCTGGAGGAGAAATGTGCAGTGGAAATGATCAAAACAAGATACTGTGGCAGAAAGACGCGAGTGTGAACTGGTCACCGTGTGCTTTGCACGTGGACATCGCTCTGGGATTCCTTCTCCTGGCCTTCTCCTCTCCACGCATTCCTATTAGGAGGAGCCCATCATGCTTCATGTTATTAACATGAGAATATAGTAGGTGGCCCAGGGCCGTTCCTGAGATACTTTTGCCAAAAAAAAAAAAAAATTTAAATTTAAAAATGGGAGTGGGTTGCCGTTTTCTTATTTTTGTGTGAAGACGGACTAAAGCTGAGGTCCGATTGGGCTGTGCTTGCTCGCTCACTGATTGGTAACATTTGGCAAAGAAAACACGAGAACTCGAACGAAATTAAAAAAAAAAAAAGAGAACCAGGATTTCCCACAATCCTACATGAGTGTTTCAGCATCACAGAATCACGTCCCCAAAGAACGAATGGATCTTCCTCTCGGTTTCCGGGAGCATGGAGTGAGTGTGGGTGGGCGCGCGGGGGAGCTGGCCCTGCGCTCAGAAGGGAAGCCAGGTCACCAAAGCTGCCCAGAGGGACACCAGCAGCACCGGGAGCGCCGGGAGCAGTGGCCCCGCCGCGCCGTTGCCGCTGCCGCAGAGTTCGAATAAGCTACCTTGGATGTTGAGGTTTTTGGATTCTTTCCTCAGTTTATCCCACATATCTTTCGCCCCTTCCTGGCAATCCGTAAGGGCTGTGACCGTGCAGCTGTGGAAATCCTCCCAGTATCTGGCGGGGGGCAGAACAAAACAGAAGAAGCGGGTTCACGGCGGGCCTGCGTGCGCCCCCCAGGCTCCCGCCCAGCCCCCGCGGCCTCGCCGACCTCCCGGGGCGCCCTCTGCCCGCCCCCGGTTCCGACGACCCCCTCCCGGGACTGCGCCAGCCGGCGACTGGCCGGACCTCGCCCCTGGCCCCCGAAGCCGCTATCCGAGCAGGGAGGGGCGCCCCCTGGCTCTCTGGTGTCCTCTCTCGGGGGAGCTGGGCGGGGACCCGGCTGCCGCGAGCCCGGGTGCACCTGCCGCGTGGCTCTGGCACCTCGGCCCGGGCACACAGATCGCTCGCGGGCCTCCGGGAAAGCAGAGCTAAGCCTGCAAGCTGCCGCCCATTAATACCTCTTAGCCTGCAAGGCGGGCGGCTGGCACGGGGCTCGGCCCTCCCCTGCAGGCTCCGCACACTCTCCTCCCCCTCGCCCCTTCTGTCTCCCGCCTTCTCTCGCGGCGGGGCTCTCGCCTTCGCCCTCCTTTTGTTTCCCCCAGGCCCTCCGGTTTCCTTCTCCTTCCCCTCCTCCGCGCCCGGGCTCCGCTCCGCGTGGCTCTCCTGCCTTGCGCTCCGCAGTCCCGCCGCTCATCCCCGTCCGGAGCCTCCAGCCTGCCTCTCCCGGCTCGGTGAGTGTTTGCGTCCGCAGCCTCTGGCGCCAGTTCGGCAGCCTTCGCCGGCTTTGGCAGATGCTTGGGCTCCAGGCCTGCGCGCCTGGCCCCGCTTCTTCCCCACGTCCCAGTCTTTCTCCTGGGTTTGGGGCCATGTGGGGTCCCCTCCTTAAGGCCTTTGGGGCCAGCTCCCAGCTGCCCGGGTCCAGCCTCGCGGGCTCGCGCCCTGCGCACCGTGGCCAGCCCTCGAGGGCCCCGCTGTCTTTCCGGGCCTCGGCTCAGGGTCCTGGAGCTCAGCGCCAGGCTCGGCCACCTCCTCCTCCCGGGCTCCGCTCCTGGCCCCGCCCCCAGAACCTTCCTCCAACCTGTCCTTTTTTTCTTTTTTAATTGTCCCCCTTTGTTCTGAAAACCCAAAATAGCTCCCGAGACTAAATATAACCCTAAACCTAGATCGATTCCTGGGGCGCTGTCTCCTCTCGGAGCTGGGTCGATCTCTCCGTCTCTGAGACTCCCGGCTGTTGCTCCCACCTCACCCTGGCCCCAGGTGCCAGGTCACTGGCAGCTGTCCTCTACGCACTTGAGTGGCATTGTCGCCCTCTCTGCCTTGTGCTGGCTGTCTGGACTGTAAGCCTGTTGAAGACAGGCATTGTATTTGGTTTCTCTGTCACCCCACCTTCTGGTGCTTGTTAGACTGTTCCGAGCCTGGTTTCTCTTCTAAAGATCTCCATTCTTCCATTAATAAGGGTTGTATGTGTGGGGGAGAAGGGGTCTTCCAGGTTGAACCATTTATAAGAAACAGCAAGATTTAGACAGGAGAGGTTGCCAGAGACAGCTCTCCTGAGGAAGTACTATGTAATCTACAGCCCTCCCCTCAAAGGATGTCTATTAAACCTCTCCTTCCCTGGTGCACCCCGGGACGGGCACAGGGTCCTCCCAGGAGAGGGCCAAAGTGGACAAGAGCAGAATTCCACCTGGGGCTCTGGGAGGTGGGCGTCAGCTGAGGATGGAGCCACTGGCAGCGGCTATGCGGACCCCAGGGAAGGACCCTCCTCACCTACTGGCTTCCCAGGACAAAGTTCTGTAAAATTAAAAGAGCTTGTGAATAGCCAAGTTCCAGCCATGGAAGGGGGGTTTGGGAGCTGCTGTCTAAGTGGCCTCATACCGTGCGAGAGGATTCTTACCTACGCCAAGACCTTTGGAAGGCAATGCCTTTTGTCCATCTCTAGGTGGGCACTGTGGTACTTAGGAAATTGTTCTAACAGGGACTCCTATCGAATCAGTCATAATCAAACAACCACCCTTACCATGCCCTCACACCCCAGTCCCTCAACTGGGCAGAGAGGAAGGCTTGACCGTGCAGAAAGGCTGGCATGCAAAGTGTTCCCTCCAGTCCTTAGGAACAAAGGGCACCTCTTGCCTTGGTTTTATTGGAGGCATAGGAGAGAAGGAGGGAGCAGTTTTTTTTTAAGAGTGTTGCAGAGAATGGGGGGCGTGTCTAAGGGCTGCAGCAGCTAAGACGCGGTAGGTCCCCTGCAGGAGGGCTCTGCTGGTTACCTCCTTTGCTACCAGTACCAGTGCTTTGCAGCTGAGCTCTGGGCAAACGCCACTGGGCCCTGCTTTCCCGTTAGTCTTGGGGCCTGCAAACCTCATAATCAGCCGCAAACTCATTGCAACAGTTGCTGGGCAAATTCACTGGCACACAAATAAAACATGGTGTCAGCCTTTCTCCTGGAAACGGAGCCCCGTGCCCACATTTTCTTGGTGTGCACTGGAGGCGGGTGACTCTATCTCTATGCGAATCTAGCAGTACTGTGAGAGCTCCCCAAATGCAAAGCGGTGGTGGGCGGCCACTGATGCCCGAGAGGGGAACTGGAATATCACCTCAAAGCAGAGGGATTTTGAGGCTGAGGAACGAAAGGAGCGGCCGCCGGCGTCCCTCTCCCCAGGGTCTCAGCGCACCACTGCGCGCGCGCCTTTGGGGTTGCACAGGGCTGAGACCCGGCTGCTGTGGGAAGGACTCTCCTCTGTGGCCCAGCCGAAATCACGAGCCCTCCTTGGGCAGTGTGGTTTTATAACCAGGGCCCTGGGCCTCGGGGGCCTCGGACTTGTCCGACGGCCTTGGCCTGGGGTGGGTGGGAGCCAGCAGGCGAGAGGGCTGGGATTGGCGTTGCGCAGACCCGGGGGCGCGGCACTCTGACCTCAGCAGCGCCCCCCGAAGAAAAAGCCAGACGGCCCGAGAGGACACTTACGTGCACACGGTCTTGATGTTCGTCTTGTCATCCAGGCCCTGCGGGTAGTTGGCCATGCTGTCGCCCAGCTTGAGCAAACAGTCGGAAAAGCCCTTAAAGACCGCATCGCACTTGCCCGCAGCTCTCACGGCCTGCACCAGGTACGCTGCGGAGAGGAGGGGACACCGGTCAGCAGCGCCGCGACCCCGCCCCCGCCGGCCCTCGGCCCGAGCGCGCACCCGCAACCTGACTGCGCGGCCCTGGCCGGGGCCCAGTGTCCAAGCCCGGGCGCGCGGAGTCAAAGGTGCGTGAGAGACGCTGCCCAGAAGCGCGGCCCTGCAGCCCACGCCGCGTCTGCCGCAGCCGGTCGGCGCGCGGCGGGTGTGGGTGGCTGGGGGGTGGGCGAGTCCAGCCTCCCCTCCGGCTCTCCTCCCTCCCGCCTCTCGCTCCGTGTCTTTTTCTGTTTCCATCGCCCCCTCTTCTCACGGCCCTCTCGCTCTCTTTCTTTCTCCTCACTCCTTCCTTCGTCTCCCAACACGTCCTCCCAGCCTTCCCTCCCCCTGCAAGCCCTGTCACGCCTCTTGCAGGGACACGATTCCATCTGAGAGGCAACAGGAGGGTCTGTACGGCAGAGGGGGAGGTGGGGAGGCGGCGAGGCGCGGGGTCACCCTGATGAACCCAAGGCTGCATCCCGCGCTTGGTGCGTGGTGAACGCTTAGCACACGCTGCGGAATGAATGAACGAATGGAAAAAAATAAGTCTCGGGAAGCCCCCCCAGCAGTCACCGAAATTGCCTACCGGGGAGTCTGTGTTGCGAGCGAGGCACCCTCCCCTCCCCATTGCCAAGAGGGACCCAGAGGCCGCGCCGGGTCACGGCTGTGTCTGCACCGGTGCCCTCGGCGCACCTCCGCGGAGGCCGAATCTGCGGGCCTAGTTCCCCTGCTGCCCTGGGCTTCAGGGCGTCTCCCCTTAAGACGCCCGGAAAAACCCGCAGCCGCTGCGGGCCCAAGCAAGGTAGGACCTTGGCCCCGCTGGGTCTCCAGCCCGGCTGCGGAGGGCCGACCTTGCTGCTGTGGGCCCCGGCTCGCTCCGGAGGGGCGGGAGAGAAGCTGGGGGCGGCCGGAGAGGGAGGAAGAGGACACCCAGGCCCCACGGAGGGTTCGGCCCCTGGTCTCGGGACGGCCAAACCCGGAGGCGCCCGACGCGAGAAGCGGGCTCCAGGCCGCGGTGGCCATTTCTCTCCACCGTGCCCGAAACCGAGAGGCCCCAAACCCACCCCGGGCGCGGGGAGAGCGCAGATCAGCGCTGCTGGCGGGGCCCGGAGACGAACTGGGGGTGCAGGATGCGGGCCTTGCGGCCGACTCCAAGGAGGACTCGACTCCTCGACCCCGCCCCGCGCCGCGCAGCCGCCGGTGCCCGCGCGCCCAGCGGACGCAGGCCGGGGAGCAGGTGACCGGGCCCTGGGCAGCCTCGGAGGGAGCGCACCCGGTTCGCCATCGCTGCAGCAAAGCGAGGCGGGCCTTGCGCTCTCTAATCCGGAACTGGAAGCGCTGGGGGAGGCACCACCCGGGTTAAAGTGGATGGCGGCTGGGGCAGGCAGATCCTGGACCCTGCCGAAACCTCCGGGGTCCCTTTAGAAACACAAATTAAACAGGCCTGCGACTAACAGCCAACGGAGCGCCGATGGATTCTCGTGAATCCACGAAATCTTTGTTCTAATGAAATTCTCTCCGGCGCCTTATAACGCACGGAACAAACACAGCTTGCAGCAGCCACCAAACCGGACACTGTCCGCCCTCCCCTGCCCTCGGGCGCTCCTTATCCCTTACCTCCACCCCCAAAACTCGCGGGCGAAAAAGAAGTCCCTGAGATGCATGGGCAATTTTTTTTTTCTTCCAAAGGGAGTTGGGGCTGGCCGGGGGCGGGAGGCTCTCCCGTCACGTTATCTTTGGAGCAGCCCCTGCACACCGCGCATGTCTGAGTGTGTGCTTGTGCAAAAATTCCCGTCCTTTGCAGCGGCGGCGTCTCCTTCGGCTCCCGCCCTGGCTGGGAGGCCAGGAGCCTGCGCACCGGCCGGCTGTTGCAGGCGCGCGCTTCCCTCGCCATCCTTCCGGGCAACCCGGGTCCGGCGAGGCTCGGCGGACCACCCGGGTCTCTTCTTCCCCGTCCCCTCAGGCGTCCCGGTCTTGAGTGGTTTCCATTCGTTCATTCATTCGGCTTCTCATTCATTCCAAACTTCTCTAGCCGCGTCTCCACTCGCGTTCACTACCTTGCCCATCTCCCCAGCCCCCACTTTTATTGCCAAATGTCAATGGCTTGGGACAGCTCCCAGCCATGAATTAATAAAGAGCGAGGCTCCGGTGCCGGAAAGGACAGTCATTCGGGAACAAATACGCTCGGTTTCCATTCCACAGCCGACAAATGGCTGGGTTCCTGTGTACAAAATGCACTTCCCTTGCACCACCGCTGTCCTTTTTTTTTTTAACCTCTCAAAGTAAGGCTATTTTTCACCGAGGAAAATAGAGACCCAAAACCTTCTCCGACTAAAATATCGGTCTCTCGGAAACAACTGCTGTGTCGTGCTGTCTAAATATTTGCAGGCTGATTACAAAACGCCACTTCCATTTATTTCTGACATGTGAGAGCTTTGCAGAAATCATCTTTACTGATGGCAAGTCTGAGCGCTCATGCCAAAGCTCCAAAACAACTAGATTCGAAGCCTTCAGGCATTTTTTAGAATTAAAGGAAACCGCTAACAACCCCCATTTACACTCTCTAAAAGCCCCGTTTTTGCAAAAAAAAAAAAATCAAAAAACCCAGAGACTCAAAACCATGCCAAATGCATAAAACTCTACCGCAAAGAATGTATTTTAATGATTTGAATGTCTAGAGAAGTAAAAAACCCGTTTCCTCCACATTTCTTGGGAAGACAAGTGTTGTGGGCTCCCTCTCTAGCCCCAGACCAATTCCCTAAAACCTCCCCCCCCGCAATACTGCAAGGATTTGTCTGCACAGAACAGAGCCTCCTGCCCCAAAGGGTAGGAGGTAACACCAGAAAACCCATCTCCAGAAAACCCGCTTGAAGAGTTCTTATTTTCCCTCTGGTCCATTCTATTAATAACCCGCTTCACTTTCACTTTCAGGCCGCGGTTAATTAATGTTCTGACCCGGCGTCAGAAATCCGGGGTTTGCTGGCTCCCCTGTTTTCTGCATTCTGGGTGGAAAAGCTGCGAACTTTGGAAAGCCCCCTGACAATGTCACCGCCGCCCAGCATTCCTTCACACAACACGGGGACTGCAGAAATCGGTCCACAGTCCATTCCCGGGCAAACCAACAGAACAGAACAGCCAGAAAACAGTGCAAATACTCTTAACCCTTTCCTACACCTAAGCGACCGATGCCCACGTGTCCACTTAACCGGCAAATGCGCCCAGAAAAGTCTGTCCACCTGCATTTGTCTAGATTCGGCCCCCTCAGTGGTCCACAGGGCACCAGATGTGGTCTGGGGTCTCAGGTCGTTCCCGACCTGCTCCCCTAGCCCGGGCTGCTGCACCCGGTGCAGACGCTGCAGCCAGAGTATGGGGGAGGGGAGCGGCAGAATGACAAAGTTCTAGCTGCAGCGGTTCGAGCCGAGCCCAGGAACACCTCTGCCTTCTGCACGCCAACTTTGCAGCCCTGGCTGCAGGCGCCTCTCGACCCCTCGCCACAGTGTCTCGCAGCTTCCCAGGGGCCAGGGCATCGCCCCTGGGCGCCCCGAGCCCGGTCTCACCCCGGGGAAGGAGAAGCGAACGCGGCGCGCGCTTTGCTGGGGGAAGCCCTCTGCGGGACCTGCGGGCCCCACTCATTTCCCGGAGGGCGTTCCGAATCCCCTTGTGCGGGACGCGCGAGCCCCCGGCAGCCGCTGCCCCCGCCCTCGGGAGCTTGCGGGCTCCTCGGGAGCTTGCGGGCTCCTCGGCACCCGCGGCGGCCGCGGGTCCCCCTCCGCGCCTCGGGCCGGGGGCTGCCGGTCGTCCCCGCCGCCCGCCCGGAGCCGGGCCGGGCGGCCACTTACCTATTTGCACCGCGAGGATCAGTGAAATGTATCTGCCGTTCAACTTAAGTCCCATCCTACGTTTAGTCAAACCATTTGCGGCCGCAGACCTTTAAATAGTTAGTTTTGAGAACGCGGGGGAAACCTGAAAAAAAGGCATTGCCAACAAGTTCCGGGAGCGACGGAGACTTTATGCACCGGGAAGGCAGAGGGAGGAGAGAAAGAGAGGGAGCGAGGAAGAGACAGAAGAGAGAGAGAGAGAGAAGAGAGAGAGAAGAGAGAGAGAGGGTGGGGGGAGAGCTGGGAATGGTTCACTCCATTAGGAGGGGGCGGAGGAAGTACAGCCTCACGCCCTCGAGCGGGCCTGACGTGGGGGATGACACGGAATGAATTTTTTTTAATATAGACACCTTGGTAGAGAATCGCCATTTATAGTCGTCAGAAGCTGGAATTAATCAGATATCTCCAATTAATGTGCGATCCCAACGGAATCTCGCCTCCCCCGGGGGGTGGTGGTGGTGGTGGTGGTGGTGCCCACTTTCCCGTCCCTGCGGCCACCCCCGCCTCCGCCTGGCTCCCGGGGCCCCCCAACCCCGCCCCCTCCCTGCGCAGAAGCGGGGCTCCCCCTCCCCTCCCCGCCTGGAGCCGGGGAGTCCTGGCGCGCCCACTCGATTGTTTCGGAGTGCTCCCGATCTCCTCCAGGAGCCGGGGCAGCCAATCCAGCCCCCCTCCCCTGACGCAGGGGGCGGTTGGGGGGCTTAGAGGAGCGGGAACGGGAGTGGGAGAAACAGCTAAGCCCCCTCCGCGGCCCGCCCCCTGCACTTGCCTACCCTCTCTTCCCTGCAACCGAGTCACCGCGCTCGGGGCGCAGCCTGGAGCTGGCGTGCGCACCGCCCGGCGCCCTGCACGAGCTCACACTCGCTCTCCCCCTGGAGCGCCCTCCGCACACGCCCGGGCCCCGGGGGTTTGGCCCGCACAAAGTGGGGCCCTCAAATGGATTCCGCCCGCCTTGTGAGTTTCACCGCCTCCTGCGTTGGCGCAGGCGAGGGGGCAGCTGCAGCAGACGCAGCAACCCAGTCCGGTTTGGGGGGTGGGGAGGGCGGAGAGGGCACCTGAGCAGGAGCCTCTGCAGGGACGACTTTCGGGTACTGGAGGTGGAGTCTCTGGGCTTTAGCACAGTGCCCAGGCCCGCGCTAGCGTGCACTCGCTTCTTTCCCATCTCGACGCGACTCGCGGTTGCTGACTGCGCCGCACACGCACACACGTACATCACGTACGCACACGCACACCCAGACCCGCGCACACCTGCACGGCCTGTTGGTGCGGGGGCGCAGACCTCGTGCCGGCGCAGCAGGCTCTGCAACCCGGGCTCGTGCCGCTGCGCCCTGCCCGGTGCTGCGGGCGGCCGAGGGCAGCCTGAGTTCAGAATGGAAAGTGCACGGGGATATTTCCTTTCCAAACGCAGTGAAGCGTTGGTTTATCTTCCCATTTAATGCACCAAAAAAAAAAAAAAAAAAAAAAAGCCTAAATCTTATCTTTTCTAAGTACCAAAGAAGGCATTGGCTCACTTTATTACCTAAACCCGTAAAAAAAAAAAAAAAAAGGAAAAAGATGAACCCCTTCCCCCACAGATCTTGCACAACTACACCACAGCCGGTTAGGATTTCGAATAAACAGCAGAACTGCGAACGGGTGCAGATGTGGCGCCGAGTTTGCCTCTCCAGGCGGCGTGCCACTCGTGCGCCCACCTCGCCGTCCCCACGCTCAGCACTTGGAGAGGCGTAGAGAAAAGGACAGAACCGAGCGAAATAAGGGGAGGGGGCGGGACTGACGGTGCGGGCGAGGGGGGTCCCAACTGCAGCACCTGGTGACGTGGAACCACTGCATCGCGCCGGCCCTCGCCCGCGTCCCGCAGGAGCCGCAGGACACCGAGGTGGCGGCCCGGGCCCCGCCCCAGGTGATGTCACCAGCCCGGGGGCGGAGAGACGGGGGCTCGCCTCGCCGGCGTCCCAGGGCACGTGAGCGGCCCCGGGTGTCCCCTTGGCCCGCGCTGGTAGGCTCCGCAAAGAGGCGAAGAGGTGGGCGGGCCGGGGGCCGGTGGCGAGAGGCAGGCGTCCCTCGGACCCGCCCCCGGAGTCCTCCAATGGCAGGGCGGGAGGTTGGTCAGAGGGGGCGGGCCGCAGGTCGCCGCCCCGCCCCGCGGGGGGCCCCCGCATCCAGAGCTGGCCCCCGCTTTTCTCTCCCTCTCCCGCAGCCCAGGTGCTGCCCGCCTGGCGCGCGCGGTGGCACAGCCCGGACTCCCGGGCACTGAAGACTTTTTTTTTTTTTGCTCTGAATATCCTTGCCTTTCTCCTTCTCATCCACCCACCGGGATCTTCCAACACATTTTCTGATCCTCCGGCACCCCGAACTTGGCGGCTGTCGGGGTGAGGGGCGGGGTGGGACTCCGCAGAGCCGGAGCCGGCCGGGTGCAGGGGAGCAGCTGCCTGTGGACCCGCGCGCGTGCGCACGTACATCAGCCCGCAGCCCGGCCCCCGGGCCGCTCTGGGTGGCGCTGCGGGGACCCAGCCGCACGCGCCATCCCTGGGGCCGTTCCTCCCTCTGCACCGCTCTGGCGTGGCTCTAGAAAGTGAGGCGTGAGAGGCGAGCAAAGTTCAGTACATAAATTATTTGGTGCGGTGAATGATTGACAGCAGATGTTAATGATGGTTTTTGCTCCCCCCTCTTCACCCCCGCCCCCGGCTTTTAAATCATGATCTTTCTGGTTCTTGAATTAAAAGGTCATGCGACCCAGGGTTGCCCGTGCGCGCCCACTCCTTGGAAACGTGGGGGGCACCGTCCATGATGGCAGGTGTCCATGGAGAATGAGCTTCCTGCCTGATGTGAAATGCCCACCGCATGTGGTATTTGCGGTGAAGGGCACAGTGGAGCAGGGGGTGCCTTATCGGGACTGCAGTGACCTTGGCCGCGCCGCGCTTCTCTGGTTGTCGCGTCTTAGTCTGAAAAACGCAGGGGACAGGGCCACCGTGGGGGCCCCAGGGTTGTTACCCCTCTGACACGTTCTGAACTGGGGATTGGGATTGTGGCTCCCCCCATCCCCCAAATAGAAGTCCGCGCAAGGGTGTTTGTTACAGGCCAAAGTCTTGCAAGGACGTTTTTTCGGATAAGCAATTTTGTTTAAAGAAACACATGCAGCTCAGGAGAGGAAAAAAGCCACCGGTGCTGTTGGGATCTGCATGTTGAATTCAAGGCACAAACCCAGGAAACTCCTTACTCCTGACGCTGCCAGGAAGAGACCACATCTCATCTGGGGCTGGATGGGCACCATCTCCCTCCCTCAGCCCAGGCTGCGGCAAGCCTGGTGTGGTGACAGTGTGCCTGTTGCTTCGCAGCTCTCTCTGCCAATCCACCATCAGTGGACCCTCCAGAAGCTGCCACCACAAAAAAGAAACAAGCACCCCCCAAAACTAAAAGCAAAACAAACCACAAAACCAGCCCCTCGAAATGGTTTGCAGGACCAGATGCCAGGGTCTCTAGGGAATTCCATCTCTGTCTTCTATAAAAAGAAGTCACTACTACAGAATTGGAATGGGTTAGTCTGGTGACACATATCTCCATCTTCCATTCCTTCAGCTAAAACCCCCAACCCAATTATGAATGCAAATGTATACAGCTCTTTGCACTGAAATGAT